CCTTGCTAAGAAGGGAGAACTCCTAGGAAAGTCTCAGCAGCCAGCCAGCTCTCAGGAGCACCGAGGTAGATGTCTTTCCCCTCTAATGGCAGCACTACCTCTCAGTCTGCATATCTGTGTACCTGTTCAAAATTCCTCAAGACTTTGTTGGTGGTGCCACCCAGTGCAAGGACTCCTGCAGGGCAGTGTTCTCAACACCACTGACACATGCCCTGCTGGCCTATATTGATGGCTTCCTTTAGAAAGGATAAGTTTCCAGTTCCTACCACTGGGGACTGGATTGGCAGGCCACTTGACACAAAGCTTGACAGTGTGTGCAGAGGAGCTCCCTAAGAAAGGAGTGCTTGGTTTGGTGAAATCCTCTCCAGAGACTTGATTTTTGTCAGAGCTTCTTTTATGTTCTTTTATTTATTGTCACCCTTCCTCCAGTCCCTGCCAAATGCACGCGCACGCACACACACACACACACACACACACACACACACACACACTAAAACTTTAGTATTTGGTCATGACTCTTAGAGTTCTCAGACACTTCAGTATCTGTGGTCTCATTTTATCCTTCCAGGAATCCAATGAAGTTGGTAACATAGGCATTACTCCATTTGAAGATGAGATAATTAAGGTATAGATGGGCCAAATGCTGACATCTAGCTAGTGTTATCCTGGGAGCAACATCCGAAGTTGCTGACTATTAACCTGTCCTTTTTTCTACCACACCACTTTCTTTTTGCCTATTTCCTCTCTGTTAGCCCTTCTAGCATGGATGTTTAATCTCTTGTTTCCTAAAGTGAGAGTTCTTTTACCAAGCCCAATTTGTCTGGTGAGGGATATTTCTAAGGGATTGAAGGACATCATCAAAGTCTTGGCTGTAGCAAGGGTCATCAGGTGAGGCCCTGTCAGCAATGTGGAGATTAAGGGTGAAGTTTTGAGCAGCTGTACTTTTCTTACAACTCTATAATGTATGTGCTAGATATATTTAGTAAAGTTGTCCTTAATTCTTTCCTTCCCTTCCAAGATGATCTGAGTATAGGAAAAAGGAAATTATGTATCTGAGTAAAAAAGCACTTGCAGAAAATGGCTGAAAGTTCAAAACTAAATATTAACCATTATTTATGTTTGGAAGTTCTCAGAGAAGAGTTTCCATGGGATGAAGTTGTTCTTTGTGCTGTTGACTTCCTAGTATAAGTTATTAGAAGCTGGAAATTAAAGTAATAATAAGACATTAGATTTTAGATACAGCCAGTCAATATCTCAGTAGTGTCTGCAATTTAAGTATACCCTTCTGGGAACCAAGAAAGACATTAAAAATCGGTAAACATATTTTTAATTTACCTTATATAAATAAAAGTTGAAATGTTTTGTTTGGTGGGTTTCTGTTTACTTTTGTTTTGATTTTGGCAGTAGTGATTGTTATAATTCAGTTATCAATATGTGGTCTTGATAATCAAGCCTGGCAGTTGGTCTTCATTTTGACCATTTTGCAATGGATCCAAATGACAAGAAAAGTTCTAGTGAGAAGGTGTGATGAGCCACTTTATTAGTGTAGCTCATCATCTAATGAAGGGGCAGCCTCCATTCTTGGGTTTTGAACTATGTGGTGAGATCGGTATTACCAAACAAATGGACAGAAATATCCCCCTTTTGAAGGTTTAAACAATATTTGCTATTTTCTGATTATAAGAACAACACAAGAAAAAGATTGTAGAACATATAGGGTGAGGGCGCACTGGCTTTGGAGGTGGAGAAGCCCTGGCTCCTGTACTACATACTTGGTCAGTCATGACTATGTGACCAAAACTCTCTTATCTTTGGTTTCCTCATCTATAAAATGGGAGATATTATGGTACCTACCTACATAGAAGTTTTATGTGGAGATAAAATAAAGTCATTAAAATGCTTAGAACAAGGCCTGACTTAATAAAGGGAGTTAAAAAAAGAAGAAAATCAAAATGGGGGCGACTGGGTGGCTCAGTTGGGTAAGTGTCCAACTTCGGCTCAGGTCATGATCTCACGGTTTGTGGGTTTGAGCCCCGCGTCAGGCTCTGTGCTGACTGCTCAGAACCTGGAGCCTGCTTCAGATTCTGTGTTTCCCTTTCTCTCTGTCCCTCCCCTATTCACACTCTGTCTCTCTCTCTCTCTCTCTCTCTCAAAAATAAATGAAACATTAAAAAATTAAAAAAAAAAATAAACCACAAGCCACCGTTAACATTTTGACGTATTAGCTCTCAGGCTTTTTTCTGCCATACACGCACACATACATAGCAGTGTGTACTACCCATATAGGTGTACATATATATCCTTTTTTTTAACCTTTTCCAAAATTGGGATCATTTTTTAAAATATTTTTTAATGTTTGTTTATTTTTGAGAGAGAGAGACAAAGTTGCAAGCAGAGGAGGGGAAAAGAGAGAGGGAGACACAGAATCCAAAGCAGGCTCCAGGCTCTGAGCTGTCAGCACAGAGCCTGACACAGGGCTTGAACCCACA